TAAGAGATTGTCATACTCTTCAGAACTGGAGTTACAGGCTATTGTGAGCTGCCATGTAGGTGCTGAGAATCTATCACTCACAGAATTTACAATTACCTGAGAGATGGATCTCTGGGCATACCTGAGAAGGATTATTTTAACTACATTGTTAATTGATAAGGGAAGACCCACTTTACTGGGGCAAGAACATTCCCTGGGCAAGGCTCCTAAACTACAGAAAATAGAGCAAGCTGAAACTTAACAAGCATGCATTCATCTATCTGTTTCTTGTTTCTGACTGTGAGTTCAATGTGACCAAGGCTCCTGATGCCTTGACTTCCTTGTCATGATACTGTATTTTGAACTGAGAACTAAAATAAGCCCTTTCTGCCTTGGTTGCTTTTTCTTTTAAAGATTCATTTTATGTGTATAAATATTTTGCCTGCATGTGTGTATGCACACCATATGTGTATACCTGGCACCCATGGAAGTCAGAAAAGGGTATAAGATCCCCTGGAACTGGGGTTACAGATTATTGTAACCATGTAGGTGATGGGAATCAAACAAGTGCTCTTACCTGCTGAGCCATCTCTCCAGTCCCCCTAGGTTGCTTTTACCAGAGTAGTTTATCACAGAAACAGACATTCAGGTTCACTGAAACTCTATCTCTAAATAAATAAGGTGAGAGCAACTGAGGATGACATCTAGCATCAACCTCTGACCTCTGCCCATGCACACATATATGAACACACCCCTTAATGAACATAGAACATGTTTAAAATTTTAAAACATAGCCAGTTGGTGGTGACACATACCTTTAATCCCAACACTTGGGAGGCTGAGGCAGGTGGATCTCTTTGAGTTTTAGGCCAGCTTGGAATACAGAGTGAGTTCCAGGACAGCCAGAGCTATATAATGAGACCCTGTCTGAAAAAACAAAAACCAAATAAACTATATATATATATATATATATATATATATATGATGTTTGTTTTGTTTTTGAGACAGGGTCTTATTATGTAGTTCTGGCTATCCTCGAACTAAATATGTAGATCAAAATAGCCTTTAGAGAAACCAAAAAAAAAAAAAAAAAAAAAAAAAAACAAAACAAAAGACCAGGCTTGGGCTGATGAGATAATTTAGCTGGTAAAGGCACTTGTCTCCAAGCCCGATGGCCTAACAGTATTTTGACTTTTTTAAAAGATGTATTTATTTGTTTAGTCAAAATAATTTTGGGAGTTTATGTTTTTATTCTATGTATATTGGTGGGTTTTTTTTCTGCATATATGCACATGAGGTGCCTGTAGAGGTCAGAAAAAGGCATCAGATTCTTGGGACTGGAACATTGTTGTTAGCTACCATGTAGGTTCTGGGAATAGAACTGGGGTCCTATCCAAGAGCAGTACCAGCTCTTAACCACTGAGATATCTCTCCAGACCTGTTTCTAAACTTTTTAATCATTATGTGCATACGTGTTGTCTGAGTGTAGGTCTGTCCACATAAGTACAGTGCTTAAGGAGGTAGAAGGCAATGGATATCCTGGAGCTGGAATTATAGGCAATTGTCGGCTGCCTATATGGGTGCTAGGTCCTCTGGAAGAACAGTATGTACTCTCAACCACTGAGCCATCTCTCCAACTCCTAAGAATTATTTCTATGTTTTATTATGTGCAGGTACATTTGCTTGTGGGTATGTGCACCTTAGTGCAGGTGTCCACAGAGCCCTTAGGTCTTAGACACCCCCCCACCCCCATCAGAGCAACCTGATGTGGATTCTGAGAACAGAACTAGGGTCCTATTCAAGAGCAGTACCAGCCCTTAACTGCTGAACCATCTCTTCAGCCCCTTATAACCCGTGTTTGATCCCCAAGTCCAATATGGTAGAATGAAAGAACTGACCTCTTTTAAGTTCTCTCACCTCTACGTATGAGCCTTGGCAAACTCCACCCATCCTCAAGTAAACTCAAATACATACGTACATACATACATACATACACACACACACATACACACACATACATACATAGTATGGATTTTAAAAATGAGCCAGTCATGGTAAGACACACAATCTCAGAACCCAGAAATCTAAGACACAATTGTTTTCAGGAATCTGAGGCCTGTAAGTTCTAGGCTAGTCTCTTTAAAAAAAAAAGGGGGGGGGAGGGAGGGACACACACAAGGACACAGTACTTCAGTACATAACAGACAAGAAAGTTTCACGAAAAAAAAAAAAAATGAAATTTAACCTGAACATATAGTTGACAGAAGCTAGCTAGGAATGGTAGTGCAAGCCTATATAACCTCAAGACTTGGAAGGCTGAGGCAAGAGGATTTCAAGTTCAAGGCTAATGTGGGTACAGAGCAAGTTTCTGTAGAAGGAAAGCACAGGCCAGGACAAAAGGAAAAAGTAAGAGGGTAGGGACGGAAGAGAAAAAGAAAAGCAAGGGAGAAAAGGAAAGAGGAAGGGAGAAGCTAGCCAGATCAAGCTCTGAGGGGAAGACATTGTATGGCAAGGGAACAACCTGAGCAAAAGCATCTGCTGGGCCGGTGCTGAAGGAGGAAAGATGTGTGGAGGGAACCCAAAGGGGAGAGTGGCAGGTGAAAGGGCTTATTAACATTTGAAACTGGTCCAAATATATGTAATCCCTGCCTCTATGTATTTTGTTTGCTGTTATTTGGTGCTGGTGGTAACTTTTTTGCAGTGCTGGGGACTGAATCCAAGCTGAATAGCAGGCACATACCACTACGCTATAGTCCAGTTCCTAAGACAATTCTAAAAGGAGTCACCAAAGCAACAAACTAACCACACTCACGCTTTTCAAATAAAAGCAAGAAAAATGAAGTATATTCAAAATTATAATAGAGATTACATTTCTGCCTCCTTCCTGGCAATTTCTGCAAGCAAGATATTACAACACCTCACAGACTCCTTAACACCCTCATCATTTCCATACCTCCCTAAATTTCCACAAAGGTGCCCAGAATTTACTGCACACTCTAGAGATGGACAATTACCATGTTTCAAATTACTTTGGCTGTAAATACCCTCCCTGGAGCACTTCTGCTATAAGAGCATGCTCTTAATCTCTGGGTTAAAGGCACTGAGCATTCAGGGAGAGAATTAAACAGAATCCACTCTGTACACTGGCCTGGAAGAGTGAAATTCTAGGTACAGGCAGAACAGCTTATCATCTTACATGAGTGCTGATGATGAAGTAGTTTTATGTTTGTGATCTGAGAAGTGTTTCATCTAGCATTTCATCAATGTTCTCAATTCTTGGGTCAGGAATATACCCAAAGGTTTCATTATGGAGATTTGAAAGATGTAACTTAAAAAGTATAAACTTTAAAAAAACTCAGTGAGTAGCCTATTTTTAAGTTCATTTACTTAAGAAATAAATATAAAACAGGTCCTAATACTTTTATTTTCTGATTCTGCAACCTGTGACAGGTGGTTTTCTTGGAATATGTGATACTGTCATTTCATTCCTGTTTACTTAGATTGACAGGAGTTTAAAGCCAGTGGGAGCATTTTTTTACCAGAGGTGATAGGCCATATTGGGCCTACTCCTGACCTCTGTATACATGTAGTCCTACTCTCTTCCAATTGCATCCACACCATGGCAAAGGCCTGTATCAGCACCAACAAGTGGCATGGCACTTCAAAGGCCTTGATCTGTTTTAGAAACAGTACCAACTAATAGAACCTCATATTTTTTTCAAGTGTATATCTGGACACACTCTTGAAATAAAGTCAATTTTGTTTGGCAAATTCAATGCCATTTCTTTGAGACAGGTGGACTGCAAAACTTTGAGTAGACAGCACCACTCTAATCGGGATTTAAAAAAAAAAAAAAAAAAAGCATTTACCTGAATGGAGAAGTGCATACAACAAAAACTTTTCAATGGTGCTGCCTATTTACTGTTAGGAAATGAGCCAAACAAATCTCACATCCTCCAACCATGTCATGAATATTTGAAAAACAACACGTGGTTCCTTCGATAATTAGTCTCCTTCAATCACCATGTATTTAGCTAGGTATACTAAATGTCTTGGAAGCAAAAACAAGGAGGGCATTTTGACTGCCAAAGAAAAGTTCCTCAGAAACAATGCCAAGGCACTCAGCCTGAAGACTAAAATCCTTAACTCGCTCAAAAAGTCAGAGGATCATTTACAGCCCAGTGTTCCAAAAGGCTCACACATTCAGGTGAGAGTACAAAGGTCACTGCTCAGGTGTTCGAGCTAAGAGCCAGCCAAGTGTACTTGTAAACTGCAGTATGCAAAGCAAAAGTAGACAAGAGAAGTGTTGCAACACTCACCCACACCTACTCAACCCCGCCCCCCCAGTCGTCTTTATAAATAGAGGAGTCTGTGAGGGAACTGTCCAAGGTTACCACCTGATACGAAGGGAATGCCTTGGTGAGGAACATTAATAAAGTAAATGAGTGTACTTTATGTACTTACTGGGCACTGCTATTCGACATCTAAGTGGCTGACAAAGTGTTAAGCAAGGTACATGAGGCATAAAAATAAGACTTCCCTCTCAAGAGGATTTAAATGTCAAGAAGAAACTGACCGAAAGAGGGAGATCTCTAACTTCCCAAAGCAGCAGCCGCCCCCTGGAAAGGTACCGAAGCCAGCGGAACTCACAAGCAGGACAGTACTGCCCCCCTCCCCAATGCTGAAAGTTTGAACCGGCACCCGACTACCCCACGGTGGTCGGAAACTTCCCTAAACAAGAAGCAACCAGACACCCTCAAGTCTCCGCCCTCGGGCAGCCCCAGGTGCCCTCATGCCAGGGTATCGCTTCCTCCCGGGGCCTTCCCTCCCACTTCACCCCTCTCCCGGACACTCACTGGACTACCTAGGCTTCCAGTGCCGGTCGGGGTCCCGGAGTCCCCAAGGCTGTGGAGCACCTCCCAGGGCCCCGGCCTCAGGCCTGCCCTTCAGGAAGCCACCCTGGCGCGCCCAGCGTCCCCAGCCGGGCCGCGACCCCCGCCCCCGCCGCCGTTGGCTCTCACCTCCTCGGCGTGCTTGCGCAGCGCCTTCTCCCGCTCGTACTGGGTGATGAGCTGCTCGTTGTCGTCCCGCAGCAGCTCCAGCTCCACCTGGTGCTCCTGGTCCTGCGCGAACACCGAGTCCAGGTTCTCCAGCACGGCCACCACCAGTGGCATCAGCTCCTTGACCACCTCCTCGTCGTAGCGCCCGATGAGCCGCTCGAACTCGCGGTAGATGGAGCCGGCCAGGCCGGACACCCGCTCTGACATCACGGCCCCGGAGCCGCCGGGCTCCTCCTGGTACACCACACCGTCCTCCAGCTCCATGGTGGCGGGCGGGTGGCCCCGAGCGTCGCCGGCTGAGGGGCGGCACGGGCCCGCACGGGACGGGCACGGCGGGGGCAGAGGCTGGGGCTGGGCCCCGCGGGATGGGGGCCGGGGCCCGGGCCGAGGAGGGGAGGGGTGGGGTAAGCGCACTCACCCCAACCGCCGCTGCACCAACTGCCGGGGCGGCCCGGCCGCGCGCGCTACGCGTCACCCGTGGGGCGGGGCCGGCGCCGCGTCGCCCCGGTGGGCGGGGCCCCGCGGGAGGCCAGGCGCGGTCGGGGGCGGGGCCTTGCAGCTGCGGCGCGACGGCTGTGACGCCAACACCCAGCGCCGCGCGGGCTGAGAGGCGAGAGGTGGAGGAAGTGACAGCCGGAGGGAGGCTGGGTTTGCTGGGCGCTCCCAGAGGAAAGGGAGGGGCTCTGGAGGGTGACAACTCTTTCCCGACGAGGTAGCTGGAGTCTTCTTCACCTTTCTACAGCTTACACAGTGCCTTCATGGTGCGCCAGACGTTTGTCCCTTTTCACAGACAAAGAGAATAGGCCCAGGGAAGTTGTGGGTTAGTCAAGGTCACGCAGCTAGAGCAGGAAAGAGAGCCGAGACTCTACTAAGAATTCCGGACTCAGAGAAAAGTGGCACAAAGATGAAAGAAGAGAACAACTGTAACTAAGAGAACGACAGTCTAAAAGATAAGGCTGCCTCGAGTAAGATCGTACTGTGTGGGGTTAGAGAAGAGTAGGGATAGCCTTAACCAGAAGTGCAAAGCATCCGGAGAAGGGAAAGTGAGTGCCACTTCTTGCATTTTTCCAAACCGTGGTTGTCTCTGCTCCCCGCCCACGAAAGGCATTTCTAGGCTGCAGCCACCCCACCCTCTCCCGGATCTTGAAAGGGAGGCGGAGCTGGTAAGTGAGAGGATGAGAAGCTGTGGAGGATATGGGGTGGAGTCAGTGGTGGGAATAAGTCCCGTGATACATGAGGTCATCCCTCTTGGGAGTGCGTCACTTGTGGGGAATGCCACAACACCCAAGCCCTGGGCAGGCTGAGTCAAAGATCACTTCCTTGTATTCTCATCTCCCATCCTTAAGTTGGCCGGAAGACACTCCTAAAACCCCCTTCTCTTTGCTATAGGTGACTCAGGAGTACACCAACTCCTACTCATCTAAAAATAAGGGGAACTTAAATAGACAAGTTATTGGGAAGAAAATCGGCCACTTCCTGGGATCCTAAATACCCTCAATTTAGTAGTTAGAGATCCGTATCGTCCCCAAAGTCTCCTGCTCTTTTGATCTTCCTGGAAACCATCAAAAACTATGGAGGATGAGCCAGTGCCAATCTACAAACTCAAAAAAAAAAAAAAAAAAGATGAAAACTTACCGGGACTAACTTTGTGTTTGTTCCTCAACACTACCCTTATTTTTCTGTCTCCGTTTCTCATCCTTAACCTGTATGTATATCTGGGTTATAGGAATGCTGCCCAGCTTGTTGATCGTGAGCCCAAAAATAGCCTATCGCTATCGCTTTTTATGTTTTAACTTTATTCTTTTATGTGAATGAATGTTTTGCCTGCGTGCATGTCTGGATACTCCAAACATGCAGTGCCAAAAGAGATGTCACATCAGCTGGAACTGGAGTTTTAGCTGCTTGTGAATCCCCATATGTGTACTGGGAATCAAACCCCAGCTCTTCTTAAAGTGCAACAAATGCTCTTAGTCCACCTATCACTTTTTTATTTTCTTTTTCTTTTTTGGTGTTGTGGGCTGTTTGTTTGTTGTTTTGTTTGAGACAGGGTTTCTCTTTGTAGCCCTGACTGTCCTGGAACTGGCTCTGTAGAACAGGTGGCCTCGAACTCACAGAGATCCTCCTGCCTCTGCCTCTGCCTCCTAAGTGCTGAGATTAAAGGCCCTCACCACCACCACCCTGCAGGCCTATCACTTCTTAAAATGGTAGGAAATCCTGCTATGAATATTTTCTCTCCCCTCCTTACCCCTTCATTAGTGCCATCACTGTCTTCAGAGGTACCTCTATTTTCCTGTAGTCAGAAGGTCTGGAACACTTAGAGCAAGATGTTACTGTCTTTCTACAGTATTGTACACTTAACAACAGTTAGAGGAAAATGTTTGTTTGGTTGGCTTATGTTTTTTGAGACGGTTTCTCTATATAGCTCTGACTGTCCTGGAACTTGATTTGTAGACCAGGCTGGCCTTTAATTCACAGAGATCTATGCCTGCCTCTGCCTCCCAAGTGTTGGGGACTAAAGGCCTGTGCAACTTTTTTTTTTTTAATTTTTACATTTTGTGAAGGGGAGAGGGCATGGACACACAAATGGAGGTCTTTCCTTCTACCATGTAAATCACAGACATCCAACTCAGGTGGCTAGTTTAAGACAGAAAAATCATAAGCTCTATGCCTTGATTCCCCAGGTCTTAATGCTAGAGAGAACCACCTCCCACAAATTTTCCTTTGATCTTCACACATATGATATAGCACATATATAAATCAAATGTAATTTAAGACAGTTGTTAAAATTAATATAAGGGTGGGCTGGGGAGATTCAGTGGTTAATACATGTCCTGATCTCTGACCAAAAAACAAGTACTGCTCTTGCAGAGAACTGGATTCATGAAGCTCACAACCATCTGTAACTCTAGCTCTAGGGAATCCAAGAACCACTTCTGAACCCCAAGGGGCACTGCATTCACACATGCACAGACTCCCGAAAACACATACACACATAAATGGAAAAAATAAAATAGGTCTTTAGTAAAGTTCCATGCCACCAAGCCTGACAACCTGAGTTTGGTCACCAGGCCCACATGATAGGAGAGAACCAACTACTAAAAGCTCTTCTGTGATGTCCACATTTGCCTCCTCCCCCAAGTAATTAAAATAAATTTTAAAATTAAAATAAGGGATGGGAGAGATGGCCCAGCTACTTCTCTTGCAGAGAACCACAGTTAGGTTCCCAGCAGCTTACAACCACCTTTAACTCCAGCTCCAAAGGACCTTACTCCTGGTTCTGTGGGCACCTATATAGAAGTGGTGCACATAAACTCAGCACACACACAGATATTTTTGTAAAAACTTACAAATGGGGGCTGGAGAAATTGCTCATCAGTTAAGAGCACTGGTAATTCTTCCAAGGTCCCAGATTCAGTTCTCAACACCCCCATGGTTGCTTACAACCAACCCTACAATCAATTCCAGGGGATCTAGTGTCTTCTGATCACTTGAGGCACAAGGCAGTCATAATGGATATATGTATATGCAGCAAAACACTCATACACATAATCCAAAAGATATACTAACGAATAGATAAAGTATAATGAATTGTGTAATAGAATAATATGCATTAATAAAATAATACTGTCACATGGATGAATCTTAAAAACATGCACTAAATGAAATATATGGTCCCACTCATATGAAATGTCCTTAATTGTGGAATCTAGAGACACACACACAGTAAGTTAGTGGTTTCCTAATGCTGGGTGCATGGGGTGTGATAATGATACATGGAAGTGATCAATAATGGATGTGGGATTTCTTTTATGTAATGGGAATATCCTAAAATTGAAGTGATGCATAACTGTCAGTATACTAAAAGGCATTCCATTCTGTACTTAGGTTGTATGGTTCATGAGCTATATCTTAATAAAGCTAATAAATGAAGCTAAGTGTGGTGTCTCACATCTATAATATCAGCACTGGGGGAACTAAGACAGAAGGATTGTGAATCAGAAGTCATCCTGGGTTATTTAGTATTTAGCACCAGGTAGGCTTGGGGTACAGAGTAAAATTTTGTGTCAAAACACACAAACACACACAGAGATAGGTAGGTACGTGGATGGGTGGATGGATGGATGGATGGATGGATACATAGAAGAAAGAACTGGTAAGGTAGTTTAATGGTGCTTACTTAGTATACACCAGACCGTAAGTTCAGTTTCCAGTAGTGCAATAAATAAATAAAATAATTTTATGGATTCAGGGACAAGTAGATCCAGTGAATCACATAACCTGGTGTAAGAGAGTTGGAAGAAAATGCTTTTGAAGTTGAGAACCTTGTCAGTGCTCTTAACTGCTGAGCCATCTCTCCAGCCCTGAATAATGGGATTCATTAAAAACTGAAGTTTTTAGCTGGGTATTGAGGTGATATATTATCTATGATTTGTTAAAGCTTGCCTGAGAATTCAGAAAATAAAGTCAGCCATAAGCCATACAAAACAGGCACATACTTTTAATCCCAGCAGCCAGAAGCTAGGAGGTGGTGGTATACACCTTTAATTCTAGGACTCAGGATTAAGAGTAGACAGATCTCTCTCAGTTCAAGGCCATCCAGGGATACATGAGATTGAGTCAGTCTAAAAGAGTAACAGATCACATGCCTTTAATCCCTGCACTAGAGGGTTATAAACGATAGAAGTAGGATCTTCAGTATTCAGTAGGAGGCATTCAGTCTCCAGCCACTCTGAGAAGAGCTTGTGGTTCGGCCCTTATGGCCTGACGTGGAGGTAAGAATTAGTGACCAGCTGCTTTGCTTTTCTGAACTTCAGCTTGAAGCCTGAACCCCAATTATCAGTCGCTGGGTCTTTTATTCTTTTGTGCTACAGGGTGTGTTAGTGCACTCCTTGAATCCCAGCGCTCAGGAGGCTGAGGCCAGCAGATCTCTGCAAGTTCTAGGCCAGCCTGGTCTACACAGCAAGTTCCAGGACAGCCAGAGTTGTTACAGAGAAACTCTGTCTTGAAAAAAGTTTTTCTTCCATTCTAGGATTCTGATTCTGGGGCCAGCAAGTCAGCCCAGTGAGTTAAGGCATGGCTGGCCAGCTCGATGCTGTGTATTCAATTCCCAGTATCCACATGGAAGCAGTGAGGCTACTCCTACAAGTTGTCTTTTCACCTCTACACACACACACACACACAAAATGTAATTTAAAAATTAAAATTATGGCTGGGTGGCAGTGGTGCACACCTTTAATCTCAGCTTTCTGGAGGCAAAGAGAGGCATATCTCTTGAGCTGAAGGCCAATCTGGCCCACAAAGCAAGTCTAGGACAGCCAAAGCTCTTATACAGAGAAACCCTGTCTTGAAAAAAATATGGTTTTGGCCAAGTGCTATGGTACACGACTATATTCTCAGCCCTTGAGCATTTG